AAATTGGGGTCCCTCTTCGGGTCCTTTTGAAAAGGGTCCCCTACTATATTGGGGACGAAAAAGGGGACCCGAATTTAGAGAACTGCCCATGTATGGCGATTGTAAGTATCACAGGGTCGGGCACTGGTCAGACATCGGCTTCAAATATACGGATACCACAAGCTCCCGCACTTTCAGTGTTCATCCTTCTCAATGTACCGACTGATCCGGCCTGCAATCGTGGTAATTATGATCGTGCCACCACGTCATCCTGTCGTTGGTCTTGACGCTGCCATGCAAGCCTAGGTTCTGCGGGACACGCCTCAGAACCACGGCACGGCATGTTGCGCAACATCTAAGACTGACATGCCTCACCACCCCAGACCCCGAAACCCTAAACCGCTCCAAAAATGGGGCTGTCCCTGACTTGTTTGGGCTCCAGGATTTGCTAGGGACTGGTGTGCATACTCAAACAATTGAGCTACTGTATTGGAAGAGTGCTACTGCAGGGGAGCGTAGCTCAGATACGGCTGAGAAGGAGGTAGGGAGCCTTAGACGGTAAAAACTACTGCGAAGTACAGTCCTACAAATCCGGCCATATCATGAAGCTGTGCGGGTCTGGCAAAGCCACCACACCGCTTGAGCGCTATGCCAGATCTCTGGCAGAAAGTGACGATGCATTCATAAAGGAAGTGCCGCGCATGCTGTTCCCGATGTACACGGTGCCACTGAAAGAGCTGATGGAAATGTCGGAGATCGAGCCGCATGAGATCTTGATGGACAAAGGTATGCTGGTGGAGTTTGAGGACCGCATGGGCAGTGCAGCTTTTGTTTCGCACCAATGGGTTGGTAAAAGCCATCCGGATCCCGAGTTCAAACAGTTGCGAGTACTACAAGATGCTATCCATCATATGTTGTCCAACATGAAGCATATCCCGCTGGACCAGCTCACAGAGTCACTTGTGCCGGGATCAACGTCGCTTGACTTAAAGGCCATGAAGGCGCGACCACTCTTCATATGGTATGATTACTTCTCCTGTCCGCAGCTCGAGTCTCATATCCCCGACCGGGTGGTCCACCAGATGAGCAATCTCGACCAGGCCATCAGTAGCATCCCAGCCTACGTTTCCAGAAGTACTTTCTTCTTTGCCCTTTGTCCGGTCGTTGACAGCGAAAGTCAGGACAAGGTTTTCACGCAAGGCACCTGGGCAAGCCGTGGCTGGTGCAAATTCGAGGCAGCATGCCGGGAGTTGTCTCCCGATTCTTCGTGGATTTTGATCAAAAGCCGCACAGACGTGACTCTCATTGCTACACCATTAGCATCCATTGCGCAATCGCCAGGCGAGGGTGCCTTCACGGTTGAACTGGACAGGCGACTGCTGGCACCCATCATGCTGCAAGCCATCAGGCGCAAACTGCATTTCTGCTTGAGGAGAGAAGACTTCGTCAGCTACCGCGTTCTTCTGAGTCTTCAGAAGGTTCATCTGCGAGGCTTCCAAACGAAGCCACTGGTGAATCTGATTCCTGGTTACTCAGCACCGGAGTTGGCAGTCTCGGAGTCTGCCCGATCAGTGTCCCACTTTCTGTACCAATACGGCTTTTCGTCTGTTAGGGCCGTGGACAGTCAGGGATGGGCGCCCCTACACTATGCAGCTCTGGCCGGGGACGCAACTTTGATTGGAGACTTATTGGAGCAGCGTGTTGACCTGAACTGTGTCACGAAGAAGGATCAGCATCTTGCAGGGATGCCTCCTTTTGCATCGGCACTTGTCATCTCTGCTTCCTTCAACCACAACGAGTCTGTCCGCCTGCTGCTTTCCTGCAAGGCCCGTCCCGGGGGCCTCTTGCAGCCGGCGATGGTCATGGCAGCGCTGGCAAACAACGCAGCGGCTATTCGTATGTTGTGCGAGTCGGGCTGCAGTCCCAACACCAAGGACGTCTTGGGCTTCTCTGCTTTCGAAGCTGCCTGTGGTTTTGGCAACTTGGACGCCGCAAGGGAGATCATCCGACAGGGAGGTGATACAGTCGATATATCTCGTGGGCTGTATTGCGGCATGACCAACAGAGGTGGGACAGCCGAGCTTGTGGAGTTTCTGCTCAGTCTTCGTGCTGATGTTAATCACCAGTTTCGGCTGTCGTCGATGACTTGCATGGGCAGATTACTAGTTGCAGGCAAGACGCTTCAACACAGATTTGGCAAGCAAACAATGGGAAGCAAAGCATCCTATCATGGCCAGGATGTGACGCCTCTCATGGTAGCAGTGATGTCTGGGCAGTATGAGGGGGCCGCTGCGCTCCTGGCAGCAGGAGCCCGCACGGATCTTCGCAACTCACGCAAGAAGACCGTCGCCGACTTCGCCGAGGAGCAAGCCTTGCCTCGATTCTTGCAAGATGCCCTCGAGGACGGGCTAAACCGGGTAGATGTCCAGCGAATAGCTTCAGCTGCTCTGGCGAATAGCTACTTCGAGGTATAAAGGAGGATGACAGCTCCTTCGAGACAGTGCCGAAGAGTTCCAGCGAGTCTGAGAGTGCCATTGTGGATGAAATGAGCGTGGGCAGCCAAAAGCCAGCCCGAGTCGGTCTCAGCTCGTTGGAAGGCGGCATCTTCTGGCTTTTCCTTGCCAAAGGAGCAAATGGGAATCTCAGCAGGGATCTCCATACAATCCAGGTCTTTGTGATAGTTCGATAACATTTGACATGTTTCTAAGGACCATTCTCAAACGTCAGATTTTTGAATGTTCTCCCAGCCATAAACTAGAACAGCCTTTTTTCGAGTGTCATGTCCGGCATGAGCCCGGCATGCCTGCATTAGGGAGCCCCGGTAGTCCCCGTCTGCCCTTTTTGTCTTTTTGGGTTCCTTTATCCGAACCAAATAGGAGGAAAAAGGATACCCTTATGATTAAGGGCCTACTGGGGAACCTAGAATATACACTCCACTCTCGTCTTGAAAGCTTCATTTTTGGGACTTGCTCCTGGATTCGTCACTTGCCCGGCACGTGCATGGCTGCCTCTTGCACAGTTTTGGGGGGAATTTCTCTAGGACATTTTCAGGTGGGTAGTTACCGCTATAGGAGCCTTATGGAGGGCCTATATACCTTATAGAAGCCTTCTACAAACTCCCCACCTGTAGTTTCCTTGAAGAATGTCAGGGTTTTCTCCACGACGGGTACCCCAAACCAGCGACCAGCTACACAGGGCAGTTGCACATCATTGCACTAGGATTCAACGCGCATTGGGGTAGCTGAATCTGCTCCGGTGGGCAACCGTGGCGCTTTCAACATAACGTAGGAACCTGATTAAGAAATCCTGTTCCTAGATACCCCAAATATTAGGACTCATATAAAGAACCCCAATAAAGACCCAAGGTTTTTTTAATCAGGTTCCTGCAATATTTTAACAAATGAATCTGCTCCGGTGGACAACCGTGGCGCTTTCAACATATTTTGTCAGATGTGGTCTGTCTGCATGTGCAGAGCAGACCGAAGGATCTGACCCGCGAGATTTCTCATGGCCCGTCAGAAAGCGAGTGCTTGAGCAGAAGCCCTTATGGCCACAGAAGAGTGCATTTGTGAACACAGTGCTCCCATGACCTCGCACAGCAAATAGACTGAGCAGACTCTGCGACCGCGGCCCTTTTTGATGTGATAGGTGGCCGCCAGTAAGGCCATCGCCATCCTGCAGCAGCGAGGGCCTCGATTTAGGATTTCTATTAGGGATTCGAAATTGTCGGAGAAGGGTAGTGTTTGCTGTTTTTGGAAATATGCAGACAACAAGGGCCCCTCATTTAGAACCTAAGTTGTCAGATCCTTCTAGGCCCGAGCCTGATAGAAAATAGTAGTATGAGCAGACTTGCTGGAAGTACCCTGAAAGGGAGCCTGATTGGGATAGGTGCCTATGGCCTATGGCACAAAAACCTACACTTGCCAAGTCGAACATGAGAAACCCTCTCGTAAGGATCAGGTTCCCAAAGGGCCCTAAGTACCTAAAAGGATTCCTGTTGCTTTCTCGGGCGTACGTGGCCAAGCCACAACAGTAATGATTCCTGTTGTTGAAACCTTACATTCTGCTATACTATTTTTAATACGGGCCTTGATAATTAGAATAGGGTTCGGGGGTATATTATAAGTATAATAAGGAACCCCCCAAACCCTATTAAAATTATTAAGGCCCCTATATTAGGTACTTGGGACCCTGGACTAACAGCAGAACGTGGCGTCCTAGGATGTTTCTCTAAGTTAGGGTCGCTGTTAGGATCCTTTTATTCAGGATGCCATACTATTTTGGGAACTTGTAAAGGGACCCTAATTTAGAGAAATACTCAAGCATCCTGGTCTCGGAGTTAGCTTTAGGCCTCATCTGACGAAGCCGGCCTCAGCTACACCGACTGAGGGTTTCGTATAGGTCGAGGACCTGGCCCAAAACCTTATTAAAGGAGCTCTTATGGGTTACTCTAAGGGGTGCGGGAGGTTAGGGTTTTAGGGTCGAGGTACTGTAAGGGTGTGGGACTACGCCAACGCCATGCCGCACGACTTCTTTCGGCATTGGCGATTGAGAATCCAGCAGACTCCCGCGATGCTTTGCGGCTATTGCATGCTGACCCTGACCCCCACCGATGAGAAGACCCCATCAAAGCCAGAACAGGGAGTCTGAGTCCTCAGTGCAGTACGCTTCTCTATATCCTAGAACGCGTAATTCGCAATCCCATGATCCTTTAAATACAAACCCTTACGTGACCGAAAGTGCAAAACCCTAAACCCTAAGCTCCTAAACCCTAAGGAGGTCCTAACCTCTAAACCCCAAACCCAAAACCCTAAACCCCAAACCCACGACCCCTAAACCCTCAGCCCCTAAACCCTAAACCCCTAAACCCTAAACCCCTAAACTCATCCAACACCTCCTCCTCCATCCTTCCACGGCTCCCTGTCGACCAGACAAAACAACAGAGCAGCCCAGCGAATACCACTTCGGCATGATCAAGCGCGGGGTTAGAGTTTAGGGTTTAGGGTTTGGGGTTCACTCCCGTCCCAGTTTGAAGGCTTGCATCTACAGCGCCCACCGGGTCCACATTCAGCAGAAGCTGCAGTTCCTGAACAGATGTGGTCCGGCGTAGATCCAGCAGAGGCCGCCAAGATAGCTGCACGTGCGAGACTGGCTGCTTGCACCTTTCGTGCCGTCGTCGGTGTGGAGGAGAACCCCGGAGGCTATCGGCAACTGGCTGAATGGTGGCACCAACGTGGAAGCAAGCTCTTGCCAGAGGTGCAACCTACTCTGGAAGAGGCCCCGTTCGAAATGGGAGTTTCCGAAAATAGGGGACCCTAATATAGTACCCTAAATAGTAGGACCCCTATTATAAGGACCCCAAAATAAGGTACCCCTAACAATCGGAAACTCCCAAATAGCAGTCTGCAGCCTGAAGTGCCCCTTCACACCAACCATCCTAAGCCCCCTAGACCCTAAACCCCTAAACCCTTAACCCCGAAAAACCCAAAACCCTAAACCCCTAAACCCTAAACCCCTAAATCCAAAACCCTAAACCCAAAACCCTGAAGCCCTAAACCCCAAACCCCTAAACCCAAAACCCTAAAGCCTGACCCCTAAACCCTAAACCCAAAACCCTCAACCCTAAACCCTAAATCCTAAACCCTAAACCCCCAAACCCCTCAACCCTAAGCCCAAAACCCTAAAACCCTAAACCCCTAAACCC